CTAATTGTAACTAATAAATTTATTTTGATAATTTAATGGCAGAAATAGACTATATAAGATAATTTTACTTGTTCATTTTTGGAATTTTATACCTTTGTATTAAAGATGAAGCTAATCAAAATATAAATAAAATTATTATAATGATGCAATAGAAAAAGGTTAAGCCTTTATTCTTATAATTATTATTTAACATCACCATCATTGCTTTTTTTAATTAAAATTTAAGAATATAATGGCTAATTGAAGAATCATATTAAAGTTGTAAAATAGGCCTAACAATTATTATTATATTTCCTATATTTAGGAAAATAATTATGGATTAAGGAGATATTAAATATAATATGATTACTTTTAAAAAATTTTTCACATTTATTTATTGATTTATGACTCATAAATATTTCTATAGTTCATATAATGATAAAACTAACTTATAATTCTCACTATTAAATTATATAATTGATGTTAACAATTAATAGATAAGAAAAATTCTATGATTAATCATAAAAGGTAAAAAATAATTAATATTTAAAAGATATGAAGCTGTAATATTTTAATGCATTAAACTGTTTAAAAAACGGAAGAAAAATTAAAAGAATTGAAAATGAGTAAATAAAATTAATAATAAAATAATTTAATAGGATGATATAAAATTATAATTTCAAGATTTTAATTTTATTTTTAATTTGGAAATTGTCTACTGAATTACTGTTTATGCAGGATGGTTTAATGTTAATGCTAATTATGTGATTCCAATATCTACTAATCACTTATTCCCCTTTATGTATTATATTGCAATTCCCTTTACTCTCTTACAAAGATCATTATAATTATACCTTCGATATATTAAACTTATTATGTTTATTCATTGTTAGACATATTTCTTAAAAAATATCAAAATTTATTATAATAAATTAAAATCGATATACATCATTTAATATTTTTGAACATTAACAAACCAAATAACAATTTTGTTTCTCTACATTATCCATCACTGTTTAAAAAATTTTTGAATCAAGCTTTTAATTGAGAAAATAATTTTATGTTGCTTCTTTATTGAAAAATTTTAATCACTATTATGTATCCTCAACCTTTTTATACTTTTAACAAAAGAAATTTTATTTGAACTAATTTCAAACTTAAAGTTAATAAATTTATTTATTTGTTCATTATCGCCCACAAGAACCTAAGGACGTTTACATTTGATCAATTCATTCATCTTAATTTTTCTTCTGATTAGATAAATTATTATTAAATAAATAAATGCAATCAAAGTGATTAAATTAGAATTCATAAAATTATTCAAACCAACATGAATTTATAAATATTATATCAAAGAATTACTATATTTGTATCTTCTAAATTGCTTTCTCTACTGATTTATATGAGAAATTATAAAATGAATTAAATATGAACACTCGAAAAAATCTATAGAGATAGCAGGGATTTATAAATTTGGCTTTCAATTTAATATTGCTTCTATTCAATTTTATTTAATTAAAACTATTCACATTTTCCCTTACAAATATAAAAGAATTATAAATAAATTTTTACACAATTATTCATTTATTTAATAATTCATATGTTGAATATCCTTTCTTCTTATCATCCCAATAGACTAAATATTGTCCATTATTTGTGATTGTCCCATAAACAGAATATGTATCACAATTC